ATTGGTCTATTGTGATTAACCTTCGATGACACACCTTCAGTCTGTTGTTGTACGGATAGGCAGGCCGGGAAGTTTTGGACAGCCAACTCAGCTTATTTGGGCAGTCATCGAGAAACAAGTATCTCACCCCTTTATATACATGTGAGCTTTATGATTTGAGCACGATTTGTCCATTATACTCGTAAGACTTGAGTTTGGAATGATGTTGACTTAAGCATAAGAGGCTTTTCACTTGAAAACCACTCTGGTGTGTAAGTGTTTGCGGGTACTCGACGTTCTACCGGCGAGGAGAAATAAGGCGAGCTGATTTTCAGCCGGTCGGAGTGTTCGGCTTTACCACTACATAAACAAGTTGAAAAGTATAGAAACAAGTTGAAAAGTAGGAAAAATATTCAGTCGATCATTGGATGTCTTAGTGCGATGCACCGAAATGGAGAAATGGTATAAATCTTAGCGGAGATAAACCTAAAAGTGACCCAATACCAAAAGGCACAACAATCAAGTTTGGGGAAAGAAGAACATTGGATTGACTTCATGTATAAAAACTTTCAAAAATTATGCTTATACTACGGGGTGATTGGACATGGTGATAGACAATGTGCTCGTATGGAGGACCTAAGAATGAATTTGCAAAATCCAAATCATTTTGGTGATGGTTAAGGGTTTGTGGATGTTATAGAAAAAAGAGTGCAAAGCCCTAGAAGTATAGATGTGGAGTCAGAATCTAGCAAGTCAAAAAGCAAGGAACTAGATGTAAGTGAGGCTGGTGAAAAAAAAATGTAACAGGAAGGATAATGATGAAGGATATATGAAGATGAATGAAGGTGTGGGGGAAATAGTAAATATTCAATCTAACTTGGGTAAGGCTAGTAGACAAGGTATGGAATTAATTAAAAAGTCAGTTTGGTTGAACTCTGAGGATAGGGTTTTAATAAAAAAATGTGTTGGGATCGGTGAAGATCGTCGTAATTGTGAAAGTTACGAATTAATTCTATGAATTAATCCTATGTGCACCGGACCTAAGGTTTATCGTAAAATACTTACGACTTAAAATGCAGACTCTAAGACCTTGTAGATTTTCTTTGATGGAGATCGGTTGATTTCACTTTACCAGAAAAATTGCCTCGTCAAACACTTGAAGTCGCCGAGAGAATCTCATGGATTGAACGGGGTTGGCTCTATCACGCGGGTGCGGTAATGAGGCAGTCGTGGGCTGCAGTGCGCGTCTCGTCTGTCAGGGGTGATCACGGACTGTGGTTGTGCGTCGGTCGCGTACGTCCAGGGTTGGGCATCAGGATTGCAGCGTGCGGTCCCAGCACAGAAAGGCTGCAGTGGTCGAGTGCTCGGACTACCTCTGATCCTTCTACTGTATAACCCGACACCTCTCCGGTTTTATCGTGGGCAACAAGCTCAGAGAGAACTCGATTGGGAACTAGGGTCGGCTACATGTCATGTGTATGTTGTGTCTCCCAATCCCAAGAGGAGTGGTGTATATATAGGCTACGACATGGACCCCAATGAGACATTAAATTGGGCTCCCCATGTATGGGCCTAACTGTGGTCGAAGCCCACTCCCCTCATATACGAATAATACAGTCATTCCACTAAATTAGTATTATTGTAAGTTCCATTTAATTCTCAAATTACGATTTGAGCTCTGATTCATATTTACTTGAATTACCTCCATATGTTTAAGATATAATGTCCATCAATCAATTTGATTACTGAAAATCAAATCAATTGATCTCTTGTGCCAAAACTAGCTTTAAAATGAAAATTTGTTCTCTAGAAAATTATTAATAATTTATTTCTATTTTTGAAAATTGGTTCTCTCTTTTTAAAACTTGGAAAATTCTTTTAAAAATAACTGGATGTTACAGTTATGGTCTTCGACAAGATCAAACAATGATCTTTGGTAATATGTTAATATATTTTTTCGTATTTTTTTCGTATAAATAATTAAGAATGATTTGAAAAATACTTAATTTACCATTTAATTGTAGATATAATTGATCTGATTGTTGAAATTGAGTCAATGCAAATTAAAGAGGTTGATGGCTTCCAAACACAAATAGTTGTGTTTTCTCTCAATGATAGACAATAGCAATTTTTATTATATATTTTTTCTAAAAATCATGTTAATAATTTATTTAAATGAACGTGTAGGGGGAACAAGTTTAACTGAACAACATGGGGTGATTTAATTGATCGACTTTTGTAAATTGAAAATGAATATGGCAATGACCATTATCCACATTTGCTCATCGTTTATATTTTCGTTAAATCGGTTTACAATATATTTATGTTAATTACAGTAAATATATTTAAAATACATATTTTAACGTTTAACAAATATATTCATAATTTACACGATGTTAAATATGATTTTTCAATATATATTATAATTCTATTATAATATCTATTTCATATTTAACAAAAATGTGTATATTTAAATATCAATATTTCAGTTAATAACCAATTAGCTAATTCGAAGAATGTTACCAAGTTAATTGCTGGTCATGGTGTTCACGAGATTCGTGATTTGACTAACAAGAGTAAGAGTCAATTCTTATCACACGTTAACATGTTTTTTAAGAAACCGATGTTCAATCATGACAAGTTGTATATATCTGTTTCCCATGTCGTTAATGAAAATAGATTAAAAATATTAATTTGCAGAGAGGAAGGTGTACCTACAAGACAAAAAATGATGTGTATAAACAAACTTTTAATAACATATAATATTAATTTTTTATATTTAATTTATTTATTCATGAATATAACAATAAGGTTGGATAAATAACTTTAAAATTGTCCAACCTGTGCATCGCACGGCTCTGCACTAGTTCTCTAAAAATGGTTCTTTAATTTTATCTTTTGAATTATAAGATTAAGAATATTGAGAATCCAAAAGGACTATAACGTTCCAAATAAAAAAACTACAAGTACATAATAAATGTACATATATAGAGATGGTATACATACCACTAACATGGAGTGGGATTCGTTTAATTTTTAATTTTTGGTCGGTCCAACTCAATGTGAATGTTATGTATACCCCATGTACAATATCATGTGGCTTAAAGACGTGGACACGTACAATATTTAGATGAATACATAAAATACGAAAGACAAACCTTTCTCACATAAATGTATTCTGATTAACAATTCTTCTATAGAATTACGTACAATTCATAAAAATTAGGAAAAAAAAAATTCCGCAATTGTATTCATGGAATATCTATACTATTTATATCTATATCGTTTTCTTCTATAAATTCTTTTAGACTATTTTCAATTTATCTGCAATTTATTATATTATCTCATACTTTATTATAAACAATTATTTTTTTTAATTATTTTCAGTTTATCTTATTTTATTATATTATCTCATACTTTATAAAAAATTAATTTTTAGATTATTTTCAGTTTATCTTAAATTTATTTTTAAATTATTTTTAGTATCTTAAGTTTATTATATTATCTCATACTTTATAAAAAAAAATGATTTTTAGATTATTTCAGTTTATCTTAAGTTTATTTTTAGATTATTTTCAGTTTATCTTTAGTTTATTATATTATCTATAAACTTTATTTAAAACAAATTTTGAAATTTTTAGTTAATCTTAAGTTTAATATCTAATTTTTAACTAAATGACAAAAAATTAAATAGACAAAAAATTAAATAAAAAAATAAACTGAAAATAAACTACAAATAAAACAAAAAAAACTCAATTGATAACCATAGTCAAATTTTATTTATATATAAACATCAAATTAACTTCCAAAATCATTCAAAACACAATTACATCACATTAATTATTCAGAAATTAACAAGAACACAAATTATTTCTAAACTTGGAGGTCGACAGCTCCACCAGCACTTTGCCAACGGCAAGCAGATCGTCGAACACCATTACACTTCCCGCATAATGGTCATCTCTTAGGCCGCTGGAATTCCACCATCACTTTTTTAGATCTTAAATTAAATCATATATCTAATATCAATGAAACATTCTCAACAAAAAAAATAAAATTAAAATTTACTAAACCCTAAATAAGTAAACGACACTTGAGGCGACAAACGGTGCAGGCGACGGAAGGAGGGAGCCGGAGAGGGAGAGAATCTCAAAGCGAGAGTGATGGTGGCGGCGATTCTAGTGGCTCCAAGATGCAGACCATCCGTTGGCGTCTGGAACAACCCCACGAGAAGAAGAGTAGAGCGCGAAGGACAAGGCTGCCCATGGTCGGAGGAGAGGAGCAAACTGAGGCCTAGGCGGAGGGGAGAAAGCCACGGCTGATAGGCGGAGAGGAGGATGGGCGCCGGAGAATGATATGACTTGCTTTGTAAGCCTATGTTTGGTTCAAAGGAGGGGAGGGGAGGAGAGGGAATTAATGAAAGAGAGGGGAGAGGAGGGGAAGGGAGGGAAAGTAATTTTACCTTGTTCGGAGGGATTTTGTAGGAGGAGAGGTGCAAGAAAATGATTAACCTTGTTTGGTTAGAAGATGAAGGGGGAGGGAAAATAAGATTACATGGACAAATATACTCTTATTTATTATGTATCATTATATTTAAAAGACATAAAACTGGAGGGGCATATTATGTAATTATAATAAATTGATAAGGGCATAATAGTACAAAAAATTGTAAGACTTAACTTCTCCTCCAAATTACCCAAATTGCCAAAAGTTGAACCAAACGGTGGAAAATAAAAATATTTCCTCACCTCCCTTCTCCTCCCCTCTGCTTTCCCTGAACCAAACACACTGTAAGGGGGAGGACGGGAGAATTAAAGAAAGAGAAATTAAATATGTGTGTTTGGTATTTTATAGAGATGTTTTGTCTTAAAATTTATAAAGAGATAATTAAGTCGTTCACATCCAAGAGGCTTCTGGAATTAAAATGTTAAAAAAAAATTGTAATTAAGAACCAATTAACATAGAAGTGGATTGAAACTTTTCAATTCGTCATTTGGAAAATACAATATGGGGTCGTGTACATGGTAATTATCTCATATTATGTACCTAATGAAAAGGTCCATGTGACGAGCACGTGCCCATCCATTGAAGATTCGAGAAATTCTTCCAAGTCCCAAACCCAACCCGCACAGCACACATTTCACACACTGAACACACTGTCACAAATCACAGCCGCCGATCGAGAGAAGAATACGATAAAGAGACCTTGGCCAGTTATAGCAATGGGCATCGACAAGGAGTTGCTGAGGGCCGGCACCGGCCCGAAACCTGTCCCCGGGCAAACCGTCACCGTCCACTGCACCGGATTCGGTAAAAATGGCGATCTTACCAAAACGTTCTGGAGGTAAAGTTCTTCATTTATTTCCCCCTTTGTTCTTCCTCTTTTGTTTATGATATTCAGTCACTACAGTTAAATCTCTTTGTAAGAGTGTCTGAGTAGAAGTTGTGGATGTTGAATTTGGGTAACAGTACCAAAGATCCAGGTCAAAAGCCTTTCACTTTCCAAATCGGCCAGGGCAAAGTTATCAAAGGTAACTTTTACTTCCGGTGAAGTTGAAATTTGTTTTTTGCCTTTCGTTTTTAGATAACTGTGATGTAATATGAGTAGGTGATTGTGTGAATATGAGGCGTGGGATGATTACAAGTCGTGGGTTTATGATAAGATTTCAAAGTTTTGGGGTTTGCTGAATGAGGGATTTGTGGGCTCATAGTAATTTATTTGCATATTGCTTAGTCGGCTGAATGTATGTGTTGTTGATACATGGATTTAGCCAGGATGTGAGGTGAGAAACTAGTTTAGTTGTGGATCTTTTTTTTTTTTCGATGAAAATTGTGGCTCGATTGGGGTTAGGATTACGCTTGTAGTTAAGCGATCTTTTACTCTTGCTAGGTTTGGTACAAGGATTTGTTCTAACTGACCTTCTTACCTTGTGTTGGGATTATGAGGTCTGTTTCAACTTCGATCATCATAAGACATTAAAAAAACATCACACCATTTGGGATCCTTGAGTGATTTGGTTTAATTTTGTTTAAACTTGACATTGTATCTAATTACTCGAGATTTTTGAGATATCTGGGCGTGGCAAGACCATAGATTTGATGTTTCTTTATTGCAGAAATAGTTTGTTCGATAACATTTATTCACTGTTGCAGGCTGGGATGAAGGGGTGTTAGGGATGCAAGTGGGAGAAGTTGCTCGTCTTCGGGTAATATGCAATCTTGTACTACTTGGCTGAATATCTTAGTGCTTCAATAATCAACGACAAATGAATATACTGACCCAGATAATGCCGTTTTTATCATCCTTGTTCATAAGATTCCATGTCTTTGTTTTCGTCTTTATGTAATTGCATGTGTTGCATTCTCCTAGTGGGAGTGAGTGGATGCACATACACTCACACGCTTGGAAAAATGTAGTTGTAGCTTTAAGCTTAGAAAGTGGCTTTTAATTATGTTTTCAAGTGTCAAACGTTGCCTTCTGATTCTACATAATACGGGCTTAATCAAATTATGTGCCTTTGACAATTTTTAATGCTTGCAACCTAAGAAATTTTCTTTGACATTCTATTTACAAACACTCGCCGTATGCAATTTTTTCTTGACGTGTGAGTTATGTGGCCCTAATGTGCATGAGGAATTTCTGTTGAATTGCCTTTTGAATCATGTGCAGTGCTCTCCGGACTATGCTTATGGCCCAAGTGGCTTCGCGGCTTGGGGCATTCAGCCAAACTCAGTTCTGGTTTTCGAGATTGAAGTTCTGAATGTTGAATAAATAACCAGGTTGTTAAACATTGTGTTCCTTGTGCTAGAAATAAATGGGTTGCTTTTGGGCTTCAAGTGGTTTTGGTGAATTTCAACCTTATGTGAACCGTGTGTTGTGGATGTTTTTGAACTGGCTTCTTTGTCTAATACCTGAAATATTACCTTATCAATGAAGAGAAGGAGAAAAAGCATGGCGAATCATGAAAAATTAACGGCACCGCTCGATTGAGCTCCGTTCTGTTATATGGTTGGTTTATGATAATAATAAGTGGATTAAATGTCCTTAACTTATGATTACATGTTTAAATTGGAAGCTATAAGTCTGGTTAATGATGAACCTTACATTGCGGCACGAGTTGAGGAATGTCCAGTTTTTATTTTTTTTGTTTTCAATTCTTGATTTCACCTACTCCGAGCTGTAAATTGAGATGCTTATTTTCAAGCCCAAGCATCATGAGGGCGTGTTGTAATAATTATATGCCTCGGTAAAATATGAAATTATGACAAAAAATATAGTTTACGTAATTATGAATGTCCTTTATAGATGTCTGCATTGGGTAATGAATTCGTAGTTAAAACATATTCGTTTAGAAATTCGAGTGACATTTAGAGATTTTTTAAGATTTGAATTTTTTTTTTAAGATTTTTTGGATTTTTTAGGAATTCAGTGCAATACCAAGTTTGTAGGTGGATTTGTAGTAGGATTTCGTATATGTTTTTTTTTTTTTTTTTTNTTTTTTTTTTTTTTTTTTTTTTTTGTAGAAATTCCAACAAATCTTAAAAAGTCTTTACAAATTCTAGTCTTAAAAAACTTAAATATTTCTGAATTTTGTAAGAATTTTAAAAATTTCAATTGAATACCTCAAGACTTTTTAAAGTCTTAAAAAGTCTAAATTAAATACACTAGGATTTTTAAAGTCTTATAAAAAATTTTTAAAAGTCCTTAGAAATCTCAATTGAATACACTAGTCTCAGCTCGAATTAGGCTTAATGGTAATTAAGACTGGTAGGATTAAAGACTCGAGTTTCATTATTATTCTTTTTTCGCGTGAGATAATTGCCTTTTAAATTATACAAATAGTCATATGCTGACGACTCTGATTTATTTAGTTGGACTTAGTTATTTGGTTAATACAAATGTTAATAGCATTAGATGACTAACAACACTATAATGATGAACCGAAGGATACGTGAACAAATTAAACAACACTTGTATAGAGTGCGACTAGAGTGAGGTGGGGTACTTTTTTAACATATGCACATAACTTTCACACTTAATATTTTAATGAATATAATATA